CGCAAATTACCAAAATACATTTTTGGATGTGGCGCAAATTACATATTATATATTTTTTTTTTTGGTTGATTTTGGCGCAAATTACATACGCCCAGAGCAACAAAAAAAGTTATTCAAGTTTAACCTAATCTAACCTGACATAAAGTTTACAAATGACAGAATGATAAATTGTAAGCAGTTAGGAGTATATAATCACAAACAAGTACCTAAACAATTAAAATTAAAAAAATTATTTTGATTTATAAATATACAAATTTGATTGAATGAAAAATAAGTGAACAATGAAATACTGCTTGAGGCCATCCAGGCAAAATATTAAAGCTCATGGTAGATTAAAATAAAAATTATAAGAAAAAAAGAAATGGCAAGAAAAAAATTGTTAATTTTGATGATAATGTGTATCTTATCAACTTCATCATTATTTTTTAATTTCATTGAGAAGTAGATGGTTTTTCTGTATCATATAAATATTTCTTATCTCCTTCTTCTTTGTGTTCATCGCGTTGTCTTTTTAAATTGTCAAGATACTCTTGTTGTGAAGTGGCCAACACTTTTGTTAGGATATCAAAGTCTTCCCATTTTGACATTCCTTAGTGATAAAGATAAATTTTAAGATAAAGTAATAATTTTTGCAATTAAAATATATTTACCAAAAAGATGTGGAGGTAATGTGACAAATGATTGATTTTCTATTTCTGAACGATCCTTACGAGGAGATAAATTAGGTGGGGTTTTAGGTCCTACTGAATATCTTTGAGGCGAAGTTCGAGATTGATATGATTTAATGATAGATGCAGAAGTGGCAGTTGATGTGGCTGATGACTCTTTATCATTCTGTAATTATTAAAAGTTATAATAATATAAGTATATTGTACATATTTTTGTTTTTTTTTTTTAGTATTAATTTTTAATATTAACCATAATCAACATTTAAATTTGAAAACTTACTTTATTTCGTTTTTCATTATCTTTTAAAAATTGTAAATAACTTTCACGTGCTATTTGTTCTTCAATTGTATCATTTGTGGCTTCCCAATCTGTAGCTCTGAGTTTATCTTCTAACATTGTCTGTACATATCAAAATTATATTATTATTGCATGACCATACAATAATGTAGAAACATAAGGCTTCTTCATGAAAAATAAATAAATATTTATAAGCATTTATTGAAAAAATCTTAGTAATTAATAACCATTATTTAAAACCATAAACACTTTAACAGTAATTAATTGAAATTACTATATAATTAGTTAAAATTAAATAAAAACTACCATAATGAAATAAACTATATATATATATTATTACAACTTTTAATATGCAAGACATTAATGCTAGGTCGCATAAATAATCATTAAAATATATTAATACTTTTTTTCATGCTTCTCAATTTATTACCTAATAGTAACACTAGTTAATGAATAATTATATATATTTTTTATTTGGACATTTTTGGCATAATTATTAGTTGCTAACAAGTACTGTCTATAGTATACATTTGAAATACTTATATTTAATGATGAGAATAATAGAACAATTAGTAATCGAAAAAAATATAATCAAATATTCGAATGATGATACGCGTGTATTGAATAAACTGAAATAGTTTTCAATGAATTAAATTTCATTATTGAATTATTTTGATTTTCATAAGCTAAACAGAATTACGAATCCATATTCAGGCACGGACTGGCTGGGATGCTCATCTACTCATCATCTCAGATACTCATCCCTCATCCCTTGTTCTAAAGTATATTTGATCTGATTTGTTTTTAATTTTATATTGTACAATTTTGTTTGAATGTTTCTTGTAACTTGATACCTATTTCGGTTTTTATGTATTTTCAATATTTTATTAAAACAAAATAAAATATTTTAATATTTTATAAATAATTTACATACCTATTTTAAATTTTCCTCAAACATTTTTGTTATTTGCCTTTTAAATTATATAGCATCCTTGCCATTTTTTTACCAGTCTGCGTCTAAACATACATATTATAATATTATTTATTATTATTTTTTAATAATTATAACATGCATATTGATATAATTAGGTAGGTACTATTACTCATCGGTACATTATTATTATAATTTTTTAATTTATTAAAATTTTTTATTATTTACAATAATTACAAACATTTTCAAAAACAAAATACGATAACTGTCGAAATTAACTGTTTTTATCTCACCCATAAAATGTATATAAAATACATATGTACCTATCGCTTATCTAGAGGATATTGCCGGAAAAATTTGGGAAACCTACTCAGACACAAAGAGATAATATTTATTACAATGTGCAAGTAGTCTATGCAAGTGTGGCGCCTGACAATTAAACTCGAAAATGGTTAATAGAGGGACGGATAATCTAGGTTCTACTGTATTTAGAAATGCCATATTTACATATTTAAACCGTAAACAAACTCCACTGGATTTTAGRAAAAACGACAAAAATACTTTTCTAGAATTATATATAGATTGCAAATGAAATACTTAAGTGTTCCCAGTTTCCCACAACATCTGTTCAATCAGAACACTTGTTTTCTAAGGCAAGTCAAATAACTAACAACTGTAGGAATAGACTTTACCCAAAAAACTTGAATTTTATTATTTTTTTAAACAGTAACACAAATATTGAATTTTAATTATAAAGTAAATTTGGTTTTATAACTTTTGTTTAATTTGCATATATTAATAATTGTAATACTATACATTTTAAATTTTAACATACAGTACAACATACTTATACAGGGTGATTTTTTTTATCATGAACCACTCATTATTTCAAAAAGTATCAATGTTTTTAAAAATATTTTTTTACAAAATTTTATGTTGTTAAAAAACGACGTTTTTATTAAAAAATTATGTTTTTAATATTTTTTATCCTTATATTTTTTTTAAGTTTTTTACTTTTTTGAATGACAACCTAGAGTTTTAATTTCATATTCCAAAGCAGAATATTTTTCTAAGTATTTTGATACGTAAAAATTGAATTTTGGACGAGTAGTTTATGAGTTATAAGTATTTAAAGTTTAGAGAAGTGTAGTAGTGGAAAAACATTTTGCGGGGTAACCCCGTACCACTCCACTCTACCAATCTAAACTTTAAATACTTATAACTCATAAACTACTCGTCCAAAATTCAATTTTTACGTATCAAAATACTTAGAAAAATATTCTGCTTTGGAATATGAAATTAAAACTCTAGGTTGTCATTCAAAAAAGTAAAAACTTAAAAAAAAATTTAAGGTAAAAAATATTTAAAAACATAATTTTTTCATAAAAACGTTGTTTTTTAACAACATAAAACTTTGTAAAAAAATATTTTCAAAAACATTGATATGAAAAACATATTAGGGAAACATAATTAGTGGTTCATGATAAAAAAAATCACCCTGTATACATCACATAATACATAATAATATAATATTCATGTAAATCATTACTTTTTATTATTGTATTGATTTTTTAAATAGTCGAATCATTTGATTATTCCTATCACTACTTATATCTGTAAATTTTTATGTACAATATACCTGTTCTAACATGTAATCTTCACTTTGACGAACAGCATCAGTTAACAATTTTTTATCAGCTGAACCAGGGGAAAAACTTGGTAATCCTAATCCTATACCAATTGTTGCCTTATGTGGATCTACAATACTATTATAATGACTTCCTCTTTGATAAGATAATCTTATTGGTGGATTAGAAGACTCTGATATATTACCACTATTAAAAATGTTTATTGGTTCTAAAAAAATTAAAATAATATTTAAAACATAAATTTTAAAATTTTAAAGTTAAATTAATTTACCAATATCATAACAATAAACTTCAATTGGACGGTTATATAACTCAGACATAGCATGTATTTCAACATGGTTTCCATGAGTTCCTTCTAGTCTTTTTCGAGCAATATATGTATTGAAATCTTCAGTAACATACTGCATATAGTAATCTTTATTGCTTGACTAAAAAATATTTAACATTAATTAGATATAGTTTTTAAGTACAATTAAATGTATGTTAAACAAATAGGAGATATAGATTTTAATTGAATTTAAAAACTGAATTCAAGAGATTAAAAATAATTGAAGATGACTAATTTAATTTCTTAATCAAGCAGAATATTTATGATAAAAAATCTCATGGTGATGAAATTTTCAAAAATAAAATTGAAATTATACAATCAGTATGAAAAATACAAAAAATTARATTCAAAAGAATTTAATTAATTTAATACAACAAAATCAATAAATAAGTAAAACATATTTGTTCAACTATACAAATTACTCACAACATAATCCATGCATTGTTTGCGAACTATATCGTGCATATCTTGGTCACCATATAATTGATCTGATACAGCTCTAAAAAGACATGCACCATCATCTTTCATTTGTTTTAAAATAAGATCACATTTTTTCAACTTTTTCTCAAAAATACGATCTTGCTGAAATTTATAAAATGTATGTTGTTAAGTATTCACAAATTAAACCGTCACTAAATTTTGATTGAAAATTTAGAGAAAACATTCACACAGAAACCTTTAGGACATTTTTATAATTAAGTAAGACTATACTAAATGTAATTTTACAACTTATGCGGGAATATTATAGTAGATACCTAACTCTGCATAAATAATTAATTTGGTTTATGGTAATAATGTTTAATGTGTAAATCAAAAATATATATATGTAAAATATATTTAAGTATTCATAATCCATAATATAAATATATTATAACTAAATATAGAACATAATTAATGCTTGTAAATAAGTTATATTTATTTCTATTTAAAATATTAAATTAATTTATAATTACTTCAGCCCATTCCATATCATTAAATTGCTTTGGAATTTCGCCGTATTCATCTTCACTATTATATCCACATTTATCTGAACTACAGTGACCATTCAAGTCAGTGGCTCCACACTGACAAGTACCAGAAATTTGAGATGATCTATTGTCTCTATCACGTCCTTTACTATTTCTTGTATTTCTTAAAATTGTAAACAACTTATTAAAACAACACTTAAGAAAGAAGGTATTGTGGATATTAAATATTATAATCAGGTACAATAATTTAAGCTATAAACATGCAATAATGGACAAGATATGCAATACAAATATTTTTCACAACATAGAAYTTTCTTGTTTTACATAAATATGTACTACTGAAATAAAAGTACCTGTGAGGACTACGGTGAATCCTGCGTTTGGCTTGTTTTGAACCTAAAACATTTTCAATATTTTCTACGGACCATCTTTGTGGAGACTTGATTCGATCATCTAATGTGTTTATCTAAAATATAAAAAAGTTAATTAGTAATAAATTAATTTACAAAWTTTTTAACTATTTAAGAATAAATATATGTTGTAATTTAGTGCAGGAACCTGGCAAACTGCTCGAACTTTGTTCATAATTATTAGTGCAATAATTAATTGTGGTTTCAAAAAAAAAGTTTACAACTTTGTTTGTTTAGTATACTTAATTTTTATTTATATTATTTACTATTGCCTGAAGTGGCTACACTATTGCAATTTATAACACATCAGTATCTGATCTTTATAGGAGTTCTCAAAACAAAGTTATATTTATATAAGACTTATTAGGAGTACTTAATTTGAGTGGGAATACAGATAGGYGGGGTCCATATTTTTTTTTAAGCATATCCCTGCTATTCTTTTGAATGCTAGGAACACAACATTTAGTAGTGAACTAGTAAACTGTAAATTTTTCTGATACAAAATATAATAGCTTTAATTTTTTTACATTGTACCTATACTTTGTTCAAAATAAGAAACGCCTGCGGTGGCAACCAAATTGCATCAGGAGGCGGTCAGGCAACAACCCCCTTGTCACCTAACCCAGTCAACTATAAGTGTTGTACTGCCATGCCCATGCACAGTAGCTGGCCGCCGCAAGCGTTTCTTATTTTAAATAGAGAACACAAATATTATATTATACTATAATTTATATAAAATACTACATTTATATGATGGGGCTGAAACGCTCGCACTATGTAGTTTAAGAATTTAAAACCGATTTAATTTCAAACTATTTCAACGCCATCATATGTAATTTCTCATCATTAAATGTAGTAACTAACAATTAAAATATTAATTGTTAAAATTTCTTATAACTATAAAATAYATAATACAGCAATAAGAAATTGTATTATGCAAGATAGTTCATATCAATATTTATAGTCATTGTTTTAATGCATAATTTATTATTAATTGACTAATTTTATGTTTTTTTTTTTCAAAATAATTCATAAATATAAATGATTTTCTACTTTATTAAATAAATATCTGTAGAAAAAATTTATTTGTTTTGGCGYGGTTGTTGCTAGAGGAAGGCGTGGAGACAAAGCCCCCACAGTAATGCGACAGTTTTGTGTGAAATGGTTGTACATCAAACATCCGCAGAGTTCCCCTCCCGGTTCCCCTTCTAAATTTTTTCCAAATCAAGCATAGCGTATTACTATAGTCTATACAATATAACTGTTAATTTTTAATTATCTATTATTGTAAGCCAATATTAAAATTCAAAACTATTTTTCAATTTAAAATAAATGTACTTGTACTTACCATTTTTTATATTATACAATGTGATATAAAATATAAATAATGAAATGAAAGTATACATATTATATGTTACAAAATGGCATAAAATAGAAAAATTATATAAATAACTATAAAGCAAAAATCTAGAAAGTAGGTAAATACTAAATACATTTCTGTCAGTAGATGATTCATTAASAAAATGTAAGCTAATAAACTAATAAGTAGAGTGTGGATTTATATGCGTTAAAAACCAATCAAATATGCTCTAAAAATCTAAAATATGTAAAGCATATAAGCACTAAAATGTTGAAATATACATGAAAAATAAATTAGAACAAAATTTTTTAAATTATAGAACCCTACCATGAATATTTTTCTACATATTTTTCTGAAATAATGTTCATGATGAATAACCCTAATCAATATTTTCTAATCTTGGTATAAGTATGTTATTTCACCGATTATTGATCTAAGGCAGTGGTTCTTAACCAGTATTCCGCGGAACACAGATTTTCCATAGACTTGGTATAATTGAGTATAATTGCTCCATCATAATTTTAAAATCAGTGGGAAAAGATTCAAAAAATAAGTTTCATTGTTTAAACACTGACTTTTATGGTGTATCTACAAGATATGTAGCGGTTTTTTTTAATAACAAAATTGATACATTTCTAAACAAAAACATAATATTGGAGTTGATAAAGTAAACAATATTGCAATAATCTCGGCAATAACTATTTAAATGTTAAAAGAAAATGACTGTAAAATTCTCCCTCGCTTGGTTTGAGAGGAAAGCTTTCTAATAGTACCAGAGGCATCAAAGAAATTAAAACGGCAATTTTCATCTAAATACTCCAGTCTATATATTTTAATTTTATAATTATAATATATTATAAAATTTTAAAGATGTATAACATTTGTTGTATTTTACGGCTATGTTCTGGGAAAATCTTATAAAAAGTTAAGTGTTCCGTAATTTGAAAAAAGTTAAGAACCACTGATCTAAGGTCTAAGAGTTTTGGGAAAATAGTTTATACATATTAATTTATTTTGATATTAATTGTAATTATAAAAAAAATATAATATTTTTTTCTTATAGTTTTTACAATAGTATATAATATTTAAAAATTTTCTAAAAAAAACATTAAAATATACACCAAAAATTAAATATACAATTAAAATCGTAAAAAAAGCCTTTAAATAAAAAAAAAAATGAATATGTAAATGTTAAAATACGCAAAACTATATTATAGGTACTTCATTCTTTAAATTTTTATGCCATAAATCAAATGTTATGCTCACTTAGAATATCATACAATAAATTAAAATAAATATGCAAATGAATATAAGCCCCCATTCTACTTATAAAGTATATTATGTAGGTATAATCCAAGCTAAGTAGATAAATAAATAAAAATAGTAGTAGGTAGGTTCTTACTGCTTACATGCACATGTAAAGAGTTWTAAGTACCAATAACAATATGGGAAATTAGCTATATATAACTGAATAGTTTCAATAAAATACAATTAAGTACTTAATTTCAAATCAATTTAATAACATAATTGTTCATAAAAATAAATCAGCAGTGTATAAAAAAATTCATGCAGCTTATTTTTTCTTGATAATTATTTATTATTTAATAAAGTTCCTATATGAATTTTACACTTTAAAAATAGTCCAAAAAATTTTAGATATAATTTTCTTAAAGGCATTATAAAAATATTTACAAAACCACAAATAAGTTATCAACTTTTGAATTTTAAAATCAAATAGAAATGTGATTTGTTTCAAGAATGTATGTGCCAACCAAATCTAACCATAACCTTCTAGTTCTAAATATATTTTTACAAAATTGAAAAAACCTGAACTTAATTGTATGCAACTAAATTTGAGTATCACAATGTTTTTAATATTAAAGTACCTACTATTCAAAATTTGTCTATACTACCTATTTGTTTTTTTTCACATCTTTTTATACATACAATGTAGGTACCTTTTTTAATCTGACTGCCTATGATAACTAACTAATGGAGCTAAATTAAAATATAAATTCAGTTGGTACGGTAATACCTATTAGACAAACCATTTTATTTTGTTACTAAGCAGAAAAATGAATTTCTCATCAATATAACTCCTCAAATTATTGTTTACCTGAGAATGAGCTTGGGTTGTAGAAAGAGGTAAGGCATGACTGTGTGCACTCGACGAAGGTTCACATTCTTCTGATAGAGCTTGAGCCTTTTTTTTCGATAAAACCGTCATGTTGAAATCAATATAGGTATATAATATATTGGTAAAAAAAATAATGAAAAAACACTCAATCAATTGACGGGAAAAAATTAACAATTTCGAATATTAAAACCGTGGTGAACTTGACTAGGTAAGTGACGGAGTGTCGAGATTGGATAACAAATAGATACGCAATTCAAAACAATAAAATATGTTAATCTAAAACGATTACAATATTAATATATTAATATATTGCGATGACTACCGACTGTTGAACGACACACAAATAATGTTAAACGTAGGTGGTACTAATACGGCCATGTAGTATGTCGTATGTGTATTGTGCAAATAATAATATATTGTAGTGAATACATTAAAATAATATTTTTTTTTACTTATTTGTGTTCGAAGAGAACTGATAATCCCAGTTGATAAAAAATATTGTGTGTGGACTGATAAGGTCGACGGTGACATGATAACAGACCATTTCCATGGACGTCAAATGAATGGTCAGCTGGTGACGAGGGGCAAGTGATATACCCATGTTCATTGTTCACTGTTCGGTCTATTGTTCGTATTAATCGTAACCACATAATGGGTATTATGTGATAGACGGAAACGACGCTCGTTTGCACCAAAGGGCAAAGAGTAATATTAGTTATTACCAATTACTATATTACCCTATGGCCTATGGTGTGTTGGTGTGTATGCATACTTCCGCTTTTAAGTGACCTTCGGCCTTCGCTCTTACTTGTCTATGGTATTACACACAGTGTGGTTTGCGCAGAGCTGCCGTTGACAATCGATTGTATCGCTCACGGTGGTCCGTGACGCACTTTTCATGGTTCCCCTGATTTTTGTCGTTACCTATAAATCCGCCTAGACGCGGTTACTGGTTATGAATTCACGTTGCGCCGCCCGGCCACTGTTGTAGTGTATAGTAACTACTAAGTACTAACTAGTAAGTTGTGGGCTGACTGGGCTGGGCTGTAATAGTAGTGTAGTTGCTGGCCGATGGTCCCGACTTCCCGAGGCGCATCCGGTAGTCGGTACAAACCAAGTTGTTGGGTATTATAACGGGTTTAACTTTGTTGTTATCCATCGGAWTTTGATGAATTTTTCTTTTAAATATTCCTATTTCCTAGACTCCAGGATGCAATAGGGCATAGGCTATGTTTTGTTCAAATTATTATTTAATATATTTATTAACTTTTTAATAAATTTACATAATTATGTATAATTTCCGTGATTAATCGTGATAGTATCTGCCATCTGGTATAAATAAGGTGACCATATATTTTTTTATTCAGAACGGGACAAAAAAAATTCAAATTATTATTATTTTTATTATAACAAACTTTTTTAAATGTATTAATCATTAGAAAAATTATGTAATGTTTTATTTATAGAATACAAACAAATTTAATTTATTTTACATTTATTAATAAGTAACTTATTTTTATAATAAACAAAATTTTTTCATTTAAGAATAATTTATAAAGAAAAATTATTTACTTGTATATTTTTCACTCGAACAAATTTGTTTTAATAATTCTGGCGATGACTTTAGGAAAGAATAAAATTCAGGGCACGGCATTTGAAAGTTAACTTTTGTTAACAACATTGATTTTACAACTGGAACTTGCATCTGTGTTTTTAGTTTTATCGGCTGTCCATAAGTTGTTTATCAGTGAAAAAATTCGTTCGACTGGTGCATTTGTAGCAGGCATGCAAAGAACATACTCAACAATTTTTTGAAAAATGGTGTGGTTTAAATTGTTGTCTCGGAAGTACTGAAACACTTCTATCCAACGATGCTCCGCATATTTATTCGAAGAATCTGAATTTTCAGCTCCTCTACTTTTAGTAATTTTGTTCTGGTGCTAATATCATGGCGATTATATTATATTAGATAAATCTAAGTTAAAAGTTTATGTTCACTATTTTTTTAACATTTAAAAATCTACTGTGAGTATTATAGATGTATT